AATAATTCAGAATTTGTATTCATAGGGGCTTTAAAACAAAAAAATTAATAGTGTGAACAGGATTCGAACCTGCGCTTACTTACGTAAATTGGAGCCTAATTCCAACGCCTTAGACCACTCGGCCATCACACTAAATACTTTATAATTTATTAATTTTGTTTCATTAACTGTAACAAATCTTTAAATAAATTTAAAAAGAAGACAGAGTGTGTGTATAAAATTAATCTAATAAACACGTACTATAAAATTAAATTAAAGAAATAACCTTAAAAATATTTTAACACTTTAAACGAATTATTTTTCTTTTTTAAAAACATTACCCCTTAAGAAGAGAATCATGAAAAGAAACAAAGATTTAGATGGAGATTCATTTCAGAAGAAAAAAGCGGGATCTTGTCCAAACTGTTACAAGACTGTGTATGAATTTTGCCAAGAATGTCGAATTAGCCTTACATCACATAAATTTATACAGTCTAAACAGAAAGATGGTTTTTTTCCTACAACACAACATACAAACTACAAGTTTACACAGGATAACACAAAAGCATCAGATGATAAACAAGTTGAAAAAGACTTGATAGTCGATGGAAGTGTTTTAATTAATCAGAACACTGGTGATGTTGATATTGATGAGGATTTTGAAAAAGTGATTAACCAGATTAAATCAAAATCAGTTAAGAATAAAAGTAAAGAATTGAGCAGTTCATTTAAGCAAAACCTTGTTCCGTTAGATGCCTTCTTTTCAAATGAGCTAAATAAAAGCAATAATGAAAGTGTTAAAGAGTCAACTAAAGAGGAAAAAACACCTGAAAGTATCAAAACCACACATCAAACATTTAAAAAAGAGACGAAAGACGTGTATTATCAACAACCTCAATATCGAGGAGAGGATCAAATGCAAATGAGAAAGCAACGCTTTGAAACTTCTTATCCTAACAATTTCTATTTAGACAATCAACCAATCATCAAGAATAAAAGATATAATCTTAACAACAATATTCCTATCAATAACAATTCTCAATTTAACAATTTGCCAATGAATAACATGCCAGTGAATAGTAACAACATTCCTATGAATATAGGTTTCAATAATTTTAATAATTCTTACATGCCAATTAGTAATAAAAAACCTAATATGCATTTTATGAATATCAATCATCCTAAAAATTATAAAATGATGAACTTTCCTAATAAAATGATGATGAATAGAACAATGATACCTAATTTAAGACCTACACGGGAAATGGAGATGAACCAAAAGATGATGAATGTTAATAATTCACAGAAAAGATTTAATGTTAATCACTATATGATGCCACAAGAAACTTTCAATCCCCAATTTAATCCTTCCATTTATGGATACAATCCAAAAATGGACCCAAGAATGATCCATAAAGAAACAGCAAATGATCCTAATCAGTTAAAAATCAAGAATAGTGAATTTTTTCAGTCACCACCATTAATGCATGCGACTAAAAAAACAAATTGTCTAACCCAAATGGATATCATGATAAGAGATCAAAAAAATAAAGAAAAAATAGCAGCATCAAGTGATCGAAGTAGAATAAAACAATCCCCGCACCATAAAGAGAAGTTAAAGAAAAGAGGCCGAAAACCTAAAAATTATGAAAATTCACTATCAGGGAGTAATCAAGGTCTTCAATCAATTTTTAAGAAAAAAGTTGATTTTGATATGACACCAGAAAAATGGAATGCTCTTTTTGATTTTAAACCAGTTGTAATAACTCAACCTAAATTGGGTGATCATATTAAAGCAAGAATTATTAATCAAAAGAATAAAGAAAATAAATCATAAAAAGCATTTAAAATTTTTTGCATAACTATTTTGATTAAAAGAAAGTTTAGTTAAAAAT